GGTACCATATCAGTTCTGGCAATTTCAGAAAATAGCGCTTTTTTTATTTCGGATCGCAACCAGCTGGTTAAAATAGAGACTTTCATTTTCCTGTATTTTGGAATAAATGTAGCACTGGTAATTTATAGTGCAATTCTCCGTCTGAACAGTCAGTAGTTTTTCCAGTTGTTTTGACCAATGCTGCATCGCCTGGTTGTCAGTTTTCTAGTAATCCTGGCCTACGAATTTCGTTACCTGAAGGGGTTATCAGATCTCCTGGTAAAAGCAAGTTAGTGGGACTTTACCGACCGCTGGTGTATGTTGAGCATCGCCAACTTCGCCTAAAAATTGTCAATCCGAGGCCACGTTGAGGATTCCATCGATTTGCAATTTTTTGGTCCTTTCATTTTAATTTTGATTTTAGTTGGTATATGTTTATGCAATATGTAAGAAAATAAAAAAAGAAAATGTGAATAAATTAAGATTAAATTCTGAATGGAAATGTTTCGGTCCATCAAGTCGCATACATTCCTGTTCAGTGCTAATATATACAGAACTGAGTTTCGAGTTCATTTTAAATCTTTTGAATTTTTTTGTTTGCTTTTTAACTTAATTTATCATCTAGATTATTTTTAAAGTATCACTCGCAAAAAAAAAAACATATTTTTGTTCAAGTTTTAAGACTTTTTCGACTGAATTTTGGCCTTTTGATTTGCGTCCTGTTTTTTTTTGCATGAATGATTTCGACGCTGTTTGATAAATACAGGTGCCGTTCCTTAAACATTTTGCGGGCCATAAAAATCAGCTGAGCTAGGCAATAATTTTTTATGATTTTTTGTTTTTTAAAAAGTTGCTAATTTTTTCTTTTTGTAATTTTTATTGTTTTTTTCAGAGGAATTGATGCAGCAGCCACCAGCAGTGAATCTTCTGAATGGAAGCACACCGTGGGAAAAAGACTCGGTGTCAAAAATTACGGAAAACCCGAAACGTGCGCAGAAGAAAAATTATATTGAAGGAGTGCCAGAGGGTTTTTTCGAGGATGAAAAACTGAACAGTAGGGTTAGCTTGGTTTTTTTCGTTTTTAGAAGATTTTCTGTGCTTTTTCTGAGCTTGTTTTTGTTAGTGAAGGTGTTCACAGGATGTAGTTTAAGTCCCTTGGCTTTACATAAAACACATTGCTAAAGCAGTACATGCCAGAAGAGATCGATTAGTTTTATAGCACGGAATAACAGGTAGATAAAAGCGGATTATTGAATGATACCCAAGCAGTGCTAGGCAATTACTATTAAGAATCCATCTATATGGCTTATATATAGGAAATTTGAAGAGAGCGGAAAAATTTCCAGTTGCATCAATAGTAAGAAAAAACAAACTTTAGCGCTTAGCTTCAAGCTTTGGC